TTCCTACCTTTTCGCGCATCTGCATCTTCTTTCTTCTGACTCTTTCTCTTCTACTCTTCTCTCTTCTAGTCTTTCTCTTCTCTCTGCCTCTGCCCTGCTCTGCTTTTCATCTGTCCGTGTTGTCGGAAGTTTGACTTCTAAACTTCCTTCGATAATTACCTCTACACTTTATTACACTTTATTATATTTCTACATAACCTAGCCTTGGTGATCAGACCAAATCCCTGTCTGCCCTCTGGCTCCTCTTCCTCTCTACATTCCTGTATTTATCTTCCCACATACTAAGACTACAGTACGCCTGCGCCCTTGCTCGTCATGCCTAGCCTGTCAACAGGCATGTGTCTACAGCCAATACACAATGCGTCGTCAGGGGGAAATGCGTCGTCAGGGGGCAATCCGTCGTCAGGGAATGTGTCGTCACAATGCGTCGTCAGGGGGCAATGCGTCGTCAGGGGGCAATGCGTCGTCAGGGAATGTGTCGTCACAATGCGTCGTCAGGGGGGTCGGGGTCATCGCCAATGTGTCTTCACAATGCGTCGTCAGCGTCAGCGCCAAACGTCAGACCCAAGCTGCGGGTGCCCTGTATATATATATATAATTTAATATAACATAACATATAAATATATAAAATAAGATAATATAAGATAAAAAATGTAATTTAAAATAATATATATATTTTGATATTAATATTAATAGTAATATTAATATTAATATTGATGTTAATAGTAATATTCAATTAATATTGATATTTACTAATATTAAATATTAATATTAGATATTCGTACTAACATTAAATATTAATATAATACAAATATAAATCCACATATAAATAAAAATGTAAATGTAAATATAAAATATAAAAAATATAAATATGTATATATATATAAATGTATGTAATGTATGTAATGTATGTAATGTATGTAATGTATGTAATGTATGTAATGTATGTAATTCAGGGGTATGATTCTGGAAGTAGGTTCACAGAGAGTGCAAAACAAATCAATGAGTCTTCATGAGTTTTCCAACCTTTTACAGTAGCTTTCTGGTAGCTTCAGCCCAGGCAGTCTAGGGCCCCGTCCTTTTCCTACTGTTCGCGTTTGTTTGTTTGGTCTCCCCTGTTCCAATCCTTTCCCGACGAAGCCGAATATCCAAAACCCGCCATCTTCTACGAAGGTGACTGGTCTCCAGCCACGCAGTGCTGCCCTTGATGCAGATAGCATGTAGATTAAGTGTCTATTTTCAGACTCCTGACTACTCAAGAATGCATCTCTGATCCTTGCAGCATGATGTGGTAACTTCTCTCACTGTGCCGCAGCAGCCCAGATTTCGGAGGTTTTCCATGTCGTGGTCGGATTTTTCAACACGGATGTTTCGAATCCAACGGGAAACATCTGCAAAGGATTGACTAAACCACAAACACAATCTCATTTTCTAGATCGAATACAGTCTGCATATTTAGGTGCAGTACTTGGAAAGCAGCAGAGAGCAGACAACCTCCACATGTAATGACAACTTTTCAGGCTGGTGACAGAGTTTGAGATTTAACCGACCCTTGCGCATGTCGTCGGTGTCTGACAGCTCCCATGATGAATCTCATGGCTGCAAGAATCAGTTGCAGCTCCAAGACATCCACTGGGTTATCTTAGATGGCAGCCCGACCCTGGGACTGCGGTGTCCCTCTGGCCAAGAGCAAAAGAAGCCTTGGAGGATGGCGAAGCAGACCTTCCTCTCCCACTTGGGTCAGAATGCGATGGATGAGGTGGAGGAGGACAAAGCGCTGAAGAAAAGATTGCAAGCACTCAGGGAAAGTCAGAGGCTTGGCCAAGGGGCCATGCATGTTCTTCGTGTCCAAGGATTGCAGGCTTTCGGTATGGCAACCAACAAAATGGGCTACGAGAGGGCGGCATACTTGGCACTGGCTGTGACAGCAGTCCTAAGCGGGTGGGAGCCTAGAGGCACAGACATGTGCAAATTGAAGCTGCAGGTCGAGAGAGCGATGTCGAGTGGCATTGGTGCAGCGAGCGCTGCTTCTTCTAGTGTTGGTGAGGAGCGCCGTGTGCGACGCCCAGTCAGAAAAGGGCACACCAAGAAGAAGCAGAAAGAGTCGGCAGCAGCCCAGCACAAACATAGTACCCCAGTCCTGCTTCGATCCCTGGCTGCTATGTGCAAGAGGCGCCCGCGGCCTCCTTTCCATGCTTTGTCGGATGACGTCCAGCCGAAAGCAATGCCAAGCAAGCCGTTCAAGGAGGTGAACATTAGGCCACCAGTGAAAGCCATGCCGTCAATGCCGTCAATGCCACCAGCTACATCCTTGGGCGCAGCATCCTCCAAAGCTGCTCCGCCTGTGGGCCCACCAGCAAAGGCGATGCCAAAGGTGAAAGAAAAATATGAAATCAAAGAGGAATTGTTAGAAGTCAAGATAGAGTCTGTAGAATCTTCAGAGGAGGATGAGGTGATGGAGCTCGAGGACCAGCCAAATCACCAATCGGTTGGAGCTCCTGGTCAAACTCCAAGAGGTCCTGAGTTCTTGCGCCTTGCGCAGCAAAACCGGGACTGGGACCCGGCCAGTCCAAAGTTTGACCACTGCACCTGGGCTCATTGCATCCAAAGAATTGATGTTCAGCAGTTGCATTTTGCACATGCATCCATCTCAATGACTTTCCGGAATGGAAGGTGCAAAGGCGAGTCGGTGCAAACTTTGACGAACAAGCTGCTGAGTGGTGAGACTCAGGTGGAGGACATTCCGGCCCTGGTAGGTGTGCAAGACCCCCACGGGAAAGTGTTCATTGTTAGTGGAAATCGGCGATTGTTTGCTCTGAAGGCTTTTGCCGATCAACTTCCAAAGGAGGAAGGGGCCCAGTGCGTCAAAGCCAGCACTTTGCTGGTCAGCCTGTCTGACATGCACCTCTTCCCGCAGTCCCTTTTTGCCCGCTGTGTGGAAGCCTTCACCAGTCATGATGGTGGCCGCCCAACCTTGAGAGCAGCCGTCCAGCCAGCAGAACATCAGGCGCAGTCAGTGGCGCGGCCAGCCGTGGTGCTGAAAGCTGCGCCATCAGTGCCGAGAGGCACCATTTTAAGGAGCTGGGCGCTGAAGGGCCTTGAAGGCTTTTGGATTGACCACAGAGGTTCGGTCTACATGGTCGAAGATAAGCAGGGCGTTGGCCTGGAAGTTACCAGAAACAATGGGACAGATTGCCGAAACTACAGACTGGAGTGGGATGGGCAAACCTTCGTGTGGCCTTCTTACAATAGAAATCATTTGGCAGTTTGTGTCAACGCTGACACCATCAACTGGCGCTGTGCCTGCACTGGCCGGATTAGTTTCACATGGCACAGATTCAACCAACAGTGAAAAATGATCACTTTGTGCTGACTGCTCCAATTTTGACAATGTTCTGCTGTTCAAGGGAACCATGGAGCAGTTTTAGTAACTACATGTTTCTTTTGATCGCATGCCGCATGTTGCGTATGGTCAGATTTTTCTGCCTTGCTCGGCCCAGTGCTTCAGGCACTCAGAAAACCAGTGGCTCCGTAAAGCTACGCAGCTACGCCGGACAGGCCGTTGCAGACGTCATCAAACAATTTTTTTTAACTTTTGGTGGTGCAATCAGTGCAATCTCATTTGTTTCTTCTGGTGCCAAAAAAATGAAGAGTGCAACACAGCATATTTTGACTCCCAGAACAATAAAACAACAAAGTTTCCGGAGTCCGGGGTGAGTTTTGGGATCGGACGGTCATGGGTCGGATTGGATCTTGTAACTTCAGCCTCATAGCATCATGAAGGGTCAGTTGTGCAATTCCTTACAGTTCAAACATTGAATGAAACAAGCAACCTCAAACAATCTTCGCTGCACCACTTCCGAACAATCCTGGGTTGCAGAGTGATCTTTGTAACCTTTACGTTGCAAACATAAATCGGCTTCGCATCCATGCGTTTAATGATGTCAGTCACAGACTCTGCATCCCGGCGCGTTCCAACTTTTCAAGAACAGCAGCGAGGTTCTAGGCTCACGGACCAGTTTTCCTGGACACAGTTTTTGCCCATTTTATGGTGGCCGCCGAGACAACTTCCACGCACATCATGCAAGGTAGACAAACAACAGTGTAATTTCAAGCTCGCCATACCTGCCATACCTCATTGTTTCATCCCAATATCCCAACCATCTCCCGCTTCACACTTCCATGCCAGCTTTAGTACCAATGCATGGGCTGCAGAGTGATCTTTGTCATTTTTACATTGCAGACATAAGTCGGCTTTACGATTGGTGTGAAGACTGCTTCAACTCACACTATGGGTATATACAAACACAAACATATTCGAAGCTCTCATGCCTCCTTACCAGCTGTTTTCATCCCAGATATCTCCTGTTTCACCATGTTTCACCCTTCCTAGGTGGCTTTCGTTACCTACCCTTGGTCTTAAGATGTCTTAAGTATTCTCCTTGAAAACTTAGCGTTTCCTGAAAACTTCGCGGGCGTTCCCTGCTTTGCCCTGAATTCGTCCTCTCTGTGGTGGCACCGGTGGCACCCCAGGGGCCCCATGATTGGGACATAGGGACGGGTCCAGTTCCACTGAGCCGATCTTGTATCCGTTCCATGGGTTATGGTCTATAGTCATATCATGTTATGGCATATTAGATTGCGACCATCCCGATGTTATCCCAGAAAATCCTGATTTGACAGTGGTATGCTGATTTTGCAGGTGGGCATCACATTTGATCCACAGACAGGGCCAGAAGTTCGTCCAGGCTCTTGGGGTGCTTGTTCTCGATCACTGTGGATGAGTGCACAACATATTCTTCACACTGGAGTACCAAAAAGTTCCTGCTCTAGCATTGCCAGTTGTCCTGCAAGGATCCAAACTGAACTGAGGATGACCCTTGCAGCCCTTGCAGTGAGAAGTCTCAAGGTAGGTTTCCAGATGTTTCTAGTCTTTCTGTAGAACGAGTCAACTAAACTTTGAGCCCGCGTCGCACTTTCGTTGCCTCAAAGCTGGCGAAATGGAGCCAGCTGATCGGATGCAGCTGCACTGCCATTGCCAAGAAAGTTGTGTAGAGAGGTTGCAGCAGGTTCCAGGACGTCTCTTGGCACACCGCTTCCAGTTGTTCTGTGCTGGGCTTCGAGAGGTGCTGAATCAAGCTGGGCAGCATGACTATCGAGCACCATGCTTTGTGCATCCCAGCTTCGACGGCATGCTGGTTCAATTCCTGTATGCGGACGCTTGTTTTTTCACGTCTTGGCCAGTTTTTCTTGAGGTAAGACCACATCACAAAGTCGAAAAGGTATAGGACAGAAGACGCGAGCTCGTCCAAAAGCACACACACACACATATATATATCATGTATGCAGCGATGCGTATGTAAGTGTAGATTGTGATATGTTGCCCAAATAGCATGCATGCCTGTGACAGGGGTGGGTTTGGGGGTGAATAATGTCCGTTGAATCTCTGTGTTTTGGAGGCTTGCCACAACTGGGCGGGGCACTCCGATAGCCACCGAGGTCCAGCACTTGGTTCAAAGCAAGGCTTAGCGCTATGGGTACACCCATGCCAATCAGTTCTAGTTGCCGACGCAGCAACCTTCCATGAGGAAGGTCAATAATATCCAAAACTTAAAGGTGCTGCAAATCCCCAGCCCCAGCCTGAAGCACACAAAATGAGGCCAGCTCAAACCAAAACTGCCAAAATCAAGTGCAACTAAGCCAATTCAATGCCAAAGAAGAATTGAAATCAAACCCACAAAATTGAGCCATGCCAAAAGTTTTTGGAACACGCCTAAGCTGGCCAAGATCCGGCCAAATACGCCGCAAATCAGCAGCTGAAAATTGCAAACATCGAACATCAAACCAAAGTGGTCAACATCAAGCCAAACATCGGCAAGATCAAATACACAATTGCCTAAATATGATCAAATATGTATATAAGGCAAAACTTTTTCAGAAAGGGGTGTTGTGAGCGCTAAAAACCAACATTTTGTTTTTTTTTGTTTTTTTAAGATGTTGAATTACTGTTTTTTGTGAGTTCATAACACCCTTTGGAAGTAAGCTGAACCACTTTGGGTGTTTAAAGCTTGCGAATTGCCTACAGTTTGGGTTTTTGTCTGCTTCGATTGTCTCAAGATTTGGCTACACTATGGCATGGGCATTTGTTTGCAATTTGCTTGCTTCAATGGCGAAACGAAAAAAGCAAAAAAAACAAAGATTTGGCAACTAGTCCAGAGACCAGAGTAGTTGGGAACACATTGTCTATTTTTTTTGATTAATCCAGATCAATCCTGAAAGATAGGGCAATGTAACACTGTCTTGTGGTGTAAAAACACCATTGGTTTCATAGGTCCACTGTATATATATATATATATATGTATTGCCTATCCCCCTTCGAATAACCCCTGTAGAATCAGGGTACCTGGGTGCTGTAATAAAGCATTTTTTTATATTGCCTAAATGTGCCTTGCGAACCTGAAACAGTGTGGGGTGTGATTCTATAGAGGTCATTGGTGTCCTATGGTGTCCTGATTTTATAGGGAACACAGGTGTGTTAAGACATACTCTATGCAATCCCTATGCACCCTCGGGGTCGTGATTCTACAGGGGTCACAGGTAATTTTTCAAGTGGCCTATGTGCATATTAGACAGGCAAACTCAGCGCGGTTGAAATGGCTGCAACACAGAAAGCGCAAATGCGCCAAAAGTCTCAGCGCCATGTTTCGGCGTGGAAAAATTAGCTGCAGCGGCTCTTTTGAGCAGCTCGAGGGCCGAGTCAGCTGAGCTGAATGGTATGTTGAGATTCTGTGTATACGGGTAATTCAGCATCGCATTGACGGGCTGGGGTACTTTTTGCTGATGATTTTTTTCCAACGTGTTCCCAAAGTCTTGGATTCCAGTGAACGAATCATGTCAAGCCCAGATTCATCTTGTCTAGTGACTGGTTAAAACCAAGGTCTTCAACAGGCCAAAATGTGTTGAACCAACATGAATGGCTTCACCGATGCCCTTCCAGCTTGTTAGCCGTGTGCGCTGTGGCGGGCCATTGCAAAGGCCTGCTGGTGGGTGTTTATATCACGGATCCGACAAGTTTGGTGTCGTGTGTGTCTTTTTTTCCCGTTTTCGTGGGTCAAAGGACCAATTCATAGCTGACTTTGCAGATGAATGACGGTTTACGAATTTGATTGCTTTTTTAAACAGCTGTGCCTGGAATTACTGTGCACAAGATGCATTAAGATCATGGGAGTGTTCTGCTGAAGCTTGGTGAAAATGTCATCCGTGGTGCCAGGTCCAGCCATGACAACCTTTGTGGGAGCCCTGGAGGTCCCCGTTGCCATCGGCTGTCGCAAGCTCAGCTGCCATGTTAGTAGGGCACTTCCTTTTTGATCGTCGCTGGGTCGCAGCTGCAGTGGGGAAGTTTCGGCTCTAAAGCTTGTGCAAGACAACTTCTGCTTGGAAATTCCGCATCCGGTTGGGCCGTTTAGCCATCCATGTTCTCGTCCGTGTCAATGTTTTTTTTTTTTTAAATGTGCATTCCAGTACTTGCAGAATCATCTTGCGTCAACAGCCTCACCAAAGAGCATGCCTGGATTGGAGATTGTTTGCGGTTGCATCGGCCTTGCGGTCAATTTGGCCCAGACCATTCTCTCCGCCTTGTAGGTATGACCTCTGACAATAGCAAAGTTTTCTTAGGCGACTATGAGGCAGTTGACAAAGGCTACGAGATCTGCGACTGTGAGGATGTGACTCTGATTGCCCCGAAAGGAAGCAAGCATTGCCCCATCAGCCCGTTTCTCAAACCAAATGAGTGCGCTGTGGTCCTGTTCGTCGGGATTGTGGTGCTCCCAGGATTGTTGTGGTGCTTACGACATCAGGCCAAGTCCAAGGAAGAGCGTGATGCCTATGCCGCCGCCCTTTACTGGGGCTACGACTTTTGCGCTGGCATATGCGCGTTAAAGTTCGCAGCAACAGTGATAGAACTATCAAAGGACCCCCTTTCACCCTTCTACTGGACGGGGAAATTCATATGGGCCACTCTATGGGAAACAATCACGTTTGACTTGCCATTGCAATGTGTCAAAACACACTGCTGCGCTTCCGCATTTTTTGGGTGCCTTACTCTGCTGGGGACCCTTTGGGGTTATTTTGGTATAATAATTGCATACCAAGTGGATACAGTGATCATGATGGGGCACCATGTCCTGGTGTGTGGCCTGATCCAGTGGCTGATTGATATCGTGAAAGGTGTTGGGTGGCGTCTCTTGAAACGCAAACTGTGCGGCAGCGGAGATAGTTCCGTTGCAGCAGGTTATGAAGCCTTCCAACAAGAGATGATGCATCCAATTCCTGAACAGGCTTGAGTGAGAACGGTTCTGTTTTAGCTGCAGGCAAAGCTTCTGATGCTATGCTTCTGAACTTTCTTCCAAGACAAAAAAGAAGCTGACCTTTGATCAAGCGCGAGTGTTGAATCATTCCCAGTATGGAGATACAAACATTTCGCTGTTGGGGGTCGACCGAGGTGCCAGCGCGGCCAGCGCAGAGAGGCTCCATCTCGAGTTAGCAGCTACTACGAAATGGGTCTCAACAATTTAGGGCTTGAACGTATTAATTTGGCATTGCAAGGAGTTTAAAAGGGTTTGGTACATTACATAAATACATGAAAATGTGAAAGAGTTGAACATGCTAACATGTTGACCCAAAATGTTTTGCCGTTCTAATACATGGAGTCAGGTAGTCAAACATGTCTTCCTGGTTGGCGGTTTTCACAGCAATTTTTTTCCCCACCTGCCAGGTGAGGGTTGTTAGATTTTATAAGAGCTCTTGCCCGCCTTCTCCTCCTCCGCCTCCTCCTCGTCTCCTTGCCAGCTCTTCATGGCAGTGGGCAGCGCCGGACCTCAACTGGGATCTCGCGATCTCAGTGGGCAGCGCCGGGCCTCAACCGGGAGATCCCGAGCGGAGTGGGCGGCGCCGGACCTCAACCGGGACCTCGCGAGTGGAGTGGGCAGCGCCGGGCCTCGAGTGGGGGTTCCCGATCTGAGTGGGCAGAGCCGGACCTGAACTGCCAGAAAGAATGCCAGAAAGAGCGGCAGAAGATATGCCCGGCGCAATGCCAGAAAGAAAATCAAATAGAATGTCATGGCGGGGATCACTCGAAGCAAAGTAATTAATCCCGATAACTTGCGGAACCGAGTTCAACCAACTGCGTGTACGTACCGGGCGGACATCACAAAAATGGCAGGAAAGAAACCCAAAGTAGTAGGACTAAAAGAAATCGCCGGCTTCATTGATTCCCCCAAATTACGTATATGATTCTTGGGTGCGTGGTTGGTTGCAATCATGGTGAATTCGGTAATATTGATATATAATATTTGTGGTAATCCCCACTTCCACCGGGACATCAAAAATCTCAGCTGTCCTACAATCTGCTCCGCCGTAGAGTTCCATCGGTCACATCTATTTTTCTTCAGCATCTTAAAGATTAAAAAACCCCAGAGTTGCAACATTTTTTATGGTTCAATGTGATTATGATGAATAAAAGTTATTAAGTTATGGTCATTAGTAACCATCACTTGCAACCATTTTTTATGGTCATGGTCATGGTTATGGTTCTGGTTCATGTCCTCCAGGTTTCGAGCTCCGAGCCCGAGCCTCCAGCTCATCGAGTGGAAGCAGATGGCAGGTGGCCAGTCGCATGCAAGTTTCTGATGGATCAGCTGACTTTCAAATCCAGCAGATGGTGGATGTTGGACCTTTATGATTTCTTTAGTGCAACATGGTGGATGTTTTTTTGGGAGATATGGTTCAACAGTTGCATCAAATGATCAAACTGGAAAGTTCGCTTTACCAGTTTGTCAAGGATAGAGATGGGATTGGCACAAAATCATGGCACTGATCATTCCACCAGATTTTGCTGCGCATTTACTGGTACCCTGGTACCACACCCAATTTCGTTTAACCCATCAAGTTTGACATAGCATCTAGAAACATGGCGGGTTATATAGATTCATAGATTGTGTTCAAAAATTGAAACTGCGCATAGTTTTTCTTTTCCCCATGCAATGTTTGCCACCAAGGGTCAAAAGTCCACAAATTTTTCTCCTATGGGTGCGAGGAATGGGGATACAGCCTTGCTGGCTTCTGTCTATAGTCTATAGCCAACAACATCGGGGATCTAACCAAGACTCCATAGATACTTTGGTTTTTGAGAACAACTATTTCAAGACGTTGTTCAAGGAAGAGAATGATCATCCACAGGATTAAAGATAGACTTTCATAGGGGATTTGGAACTTCCAAAGCTGGTGTAAACATCCAAAAACAGATCCAAAGGCACTTTCGACAGGAATATTCAACAAGGGCATAGTTTGACAATAGTGTCAAGATTGTCATAGAAGTATGATCACTGACATTCGGCATTTAGCACGGCTGATTGGAATGTTTAGCAGGGCTGATTGGAATGTGTGACTGTGGGTGCTTCTTGGTCACCATTGAGTGCACTGTCTTACTGACATTTTCTTTGGGAAGTGGGGCCTTATAGCCAGCAATGCCAATTTGGGTGGCAATACGTTTTGCACCGACTTAGAACAATCTGCAGTCTGGTGGTTTGAAACATAACTTTTATATGCTTTTATTTTCCGCTTCCCAAATTTGGGATGATTTTGGCATTTCAGAATTTTAACTTTGCTTTTCCATCCCAACTGGTTGGTTGCTAGTCTGATCTACTAAAAATGGACGATTTTTCAGATGGCCTAATACCACCAGATCAGTCGACCAGGTGCTGAGCGGTTTTGGCGCGGGCCTGGCTAGCAGGTTCTCTCGGACCTCCAAGGCACGAACAACTTGGCTCCAAGTGTTTTTTTGCTGGAACAAAATGTAATATATATATATACAGTATATGAATATTATATGAACATTTAAATGAATGTTTTTCTTTGAATATTTATAACTATTTATGATATGAATTTTGATATGTAATTATATATATACATATATTTATATACATACGGTTATTGATCTTGTAACACACCGGTATCTGGTTTTACACCTCACCCGTGGTTTTCTCTTGGGGGGAATTCCTTTTTTGTGACACAGTTTGGTCAAGATTGACATCATTGACTTTTTCAAAGTGGGGATGGTCATCCGTCAATGTTGAGATCAGCTAACCACCTTCATGTGGCCACCTCTTTGGTCTGAGACAAAGCTTTCACCACTTCAAGCAACGAGTGATTTGCCATGAACAGTGAAGATATGACCTAAGAAAATGGCTCATAGCTTACAGTAACTTGATCCAGCCAAGAGTCAGAGGGAAATTGGCTACAATTAGCCCATTGAGTTTGAACAACAATGATGAACCATGATATATCATGATGATATTGACATATATTGATCAAGACGGGGACCATTCTGACACCCAAACGGCGTCAAATTCCTAAAAAAAATCCAACATTTTTCCCATGACCTGGTCGTAAGACATGATGGGAACAGGTCTCACGGGCTGCGGAAGGCGCTGCTCCCAAAGGTGAGCAGTTTTTTTTTGCTGCGAAGGGGGGATGGAGAAACTTGACGCTCCAAATGATCAGATATTTTATCCCAACATTTCGAAGATTTCTAGCAAAACAGGATGGTGTTTCCAGGTGAAATTTCGCAGGTACAGTGCCAAGGATTTAAGTTGAACCATGTTGAGCAGAAAAAGCACCTGTGAGTTTCACCAGGTGACGAAACCGAAACTGAGGCGCCGGAAAACCAGGGAAGGTAACCAAATGCTTGCTGACTGGGCTGAAAATGTAGCCCATCATGATCAAGCACGATAAAAGGCAACATTTTTTCAATTGGGTGAGAACTTTTAAGTTTACGGGCCCACTCTTCGGCCCTGGTTTCCAAAGGTGTCAACCGCAAAAGGGGTCAACAAGCTTCGGGTGATCGACAGCAAGCACCTAGGGGTCCTGAATCATCTACTGGAAACGTTCTTTTTCATTCCTTTTTTTGTTGCATGTAGAGATTGAAACGATGAGGTCCTGTGTGACAATTCGACTGGCTGTTCCAGAGGTTGGAGGGATAATCCACGGGTTTTAGGGGTCGACCGTCAGCTGGTACTGCTACGGATTGGTAGCTATGCCTGAAAAGAGAACCAGAGAGAGGCAGAAAGAGTGCGTGAGTTTGCCTTCCTGGAGGCAATTGGACATTTGAACCAAACAAATATGACCGACCATCACTTCAGCCATTCGCTGACCACTTTCCAACTATTCGAATTCACAAAACCACCAACCATCAACAGCTCAGGTCGCAACCTCTAGGAACTTGGCTGATTGGTCCATCCAACCTGAAGGCGGGGACGTTGCTGTTAGTTCGTGGCAGGTACCAGCTTGTAGCTCGTTGATAGGACCTTGGGAAACGCCGGTCTCTGAGGATGCAAGAGTCTGGCCTTGCGGCAAGCATCTTGTTGCAACTTTCGGATTTGAATAATGCTCTTTGATGCCCTTTCGTGCACGGATTCTCTTGCATATGTTGATTCATTCGGGTTTAACATTCACCAACCGCAAGCATCATCAACAGGTCAAGTCTTTGCTTTGCAACCTCATGCAGTCTGTGCATCGCAAAAGGCCATGGCTGGCTTGCTGCCTTGGGCTGCTGGCCATTCCATTTGATCTGAAAGATTCTGATGCCAATCCTCATGAAATTGCAGAACAGGGGACCACCAGCATGCGCAAAAACTATGCAGTTGTGAGCTATGTCAATCAGAAGTGAGCAGCTGCAGTGCATTTTCCCTTGGTAGTTAAAGCTTCTGCTACCAGACTCAACCCACCGAACCTGGATGATTCGAATTTGCCCAAGTTGATGGAGTTGGAATTTTGCTTTGATTTTCCCCTTAACCACTGCGCCTGGGCTCACTGCATCCAAAGAATTGATGTTGAGCAGTTGCATTTTGCACATGCATCCATCTCAATGACTTTCCGGAATGGAAGGTGCAAAGGCGAGTCGGTGCAAACTTTGACGAACAAGCTGCTGAGTGGTGAGACTCAGGTGGAGGACATTCCGGCCCTGGTAGGTGTGCAAGACCCCCACGGGAAGGTCTTCATTGTTAGTGGAAATCGGCGATTGTTTGCTCTGAAGGCTTTTGCCGATCAACTTCCAAAGGAAGGGGCCCAGTGCGTCAAAGCCAGCACTTTGCTGGTCAGCCTGTCTGACATGCACCTGTTCCCGCAGTCCCTTTTTGCCCGCTGTGTGGAAGCCTTCACCAGTCATGATGGTGGCCGCCCAACCTTGAGAGCCGTCCAGCCAGAACATCCACAGGCGCAGTCAGTGGCGCGGCCAGCCGTGGTGCTGAAAGCGGCGCCATCAGTGCCGAGAGGCACCATTTTAAGGAGCTGGGCGCTGAAGGGCCTTGAAGGCTTTTGGATTGACCACAGAGGTTCGGTCTACATGGTCGAAGAGAAGCAGGGCGTTGGCCTGGAAGTTGTCAGAAACAATGGGACAGATTGCCGAAACTACAGACTGGAGTGGGATGGGCAAACCTTCGTGTGGCCTTCTTACAATACAAAACATGTGGCAGTTTGTGTCAACGCTGACGTCTGACACCATCAACTGGCGCTGTGCCTGCACTGGCCGGATTAGTTTCATATGGCACAGATTCAACCAACAGTGAAAAATGACCACGGATTTGTGCTGACTGCTCCAATTTTGACAATGTTCTGCTGTTCAAGGGAACCATGGAGCAGTTTTAGTAACTACATGTTTCTTTTGATCGCATGTTGCGTATGGTCAGATTTTTCTGCCTTGCTCGGCCCAGTGCTTCAGGCACTCAGAAAACCAGTGGCTCCGTGAAGCTACGCAGCTACGCCGGACAGGCCGTTGCAGATGTCATCAAACAATTTCTTTTTAACTTTTGGTGGTGCAATCAGTGCAATCTCATTTGTTTCTTCTGGTGCCAAAAAAATGAAGAGTGCAACACAGCATATTTTGACTCCCAGAACAATAAAACAACAAAGGTTCCGGAGTCCGGGGCGAGTTTTGGGATCGGACGGTCATGGGTCGGATTGGATCTTGTAACTTCAGCCTCATAGCATCATGAAGGGTCAGTTGTGCAATTCCTTACAGTTCAAACATTCAATGAAGCAACCTCAAACAATCTTCGCTGCACCACTTCCTAACAATCCTGGGTTGCAGAGTGATCTTTGTAACCTTTACGTTGCAAACATAAATCGGCTTCGCATCCATGCGTTTAATGATGTCAGTCACAGACTCTTCATCCCGGCGCGTTCAAACTTTTCAAGAACAGCAGCGAGGTTCTAGGCTCACGGACCAGTTTTCCTGGACACAGTTTTTGCCCATTTCATGGTGGCCGCCAAGACAACTTCCACGCACATCATGCAAGGTAGACAAACAACAGTGTAATTTCAAGCTCGCCATACCTGCCATACCTCATTCTTTCATGCCATCTTTAGTACCATGCATGGGCTGCAGAGTGATCTTTGTCATTTTTACATTGCAGACATAAGTCGGCTTTACGATTGGTGTGAAGACTGCTTCAACTCACACTATGGGTATATACAAACACAAACATATTCGAAGCTCTCATGCCTCCTTACCAGCTGTTTTCATCCCAGATATCTCCTGTTTCACCATGTTTCACCCTTCCTAGGTGGCTTTCGTTACCTACCCTTGGTCTTAAGATGTCTTAAGTATTCTCCTTGAAAACTTAGCGTTTCCTGAAAACTTCGCGGGCGTTTCCTGCTTTGCCCTGAATTCGTCCTCTCTGTGGTGGCACCGGTGGCACCCCAGGGGCCCCATGATTGGGACATAGGGACGGGTCCAGTTCCACTGAGCCGATCTTGTATCCGTTCCATGGGTTATGGTCTATAGTCATATCATGTTATGGCATATTAGATTGCGACCATCCCGATGTTATCCCAGAAAATCCTGATTTGACAGTGGTATGCTGATTTTGCAGGTGGGCATCACATTTGATCCACAGACAGGGCCAGAAGTTCGTCCAGGCTCTTGGGGTGCTTGTTGCGGAGATGTGTGGTTGATCGATTCTGGAAGTTGAATAGCATTCTGTTAATGCCGCCCGATTGCTGGGGTTCTGATGGAAGCACCAAACAATCGCCCGCGCATTTCCAAAACGATCACTGCAAACCAATCCTAACATACGTAAGAGGACTAGGGTAGTCAATAGTGATTGAGGATGCCTCTTTTTCAGGCCCCCATGTCTATCAGGGGCCCACCAGTCAGAGTATAGCTCACAAGAGTATCCCCAAAGATGTTTGCCTACCGACCCTCAAGAGTAGCCCAAGAGCGATTCAAGGAGTGGCTGGCTTTCAATCGACGTGTCACGTGACCTGTGGCCATTGGTGCCTGACTTGTCCCAGGTCAGTACTTTGGATCTGGCGGACGTGGCCGCTCGGACGTGTTGCTTTTAGTGTATAATGACTAAGTGGACATGACCTAGAAGCAAAATTTCCGAAAGTAAAGTTGACCAAACTAGGATGTAAGATTGAAACCGAACATGACGAAGATGCTATTGAAAGTTGTTTTTCATGCAGGTTCTTTCTCACCGAGCCTTTGAGCAACAGAGTGCTTGGTTGGTTGATGTGTGCGCACGAGGATGGCACCCTCATGAATTCAGCCCATGCGCTGCTAACATCGCTAGGCCGGGGAGAATGTGCGAGACATGGGACCCACTGATGGAGAGGTAAACATGATGTAATGATGGATAAATGATGACGGTGATAAAATAACGGTAGTAATGATAACAACCATTCTCGCAATATTGTTTATAATCATTCATAATTGGAATTGAGCATGTCGTTGCCCCAACTGTTGCTAAGACACTGGCAGTGCGATGACCAGTTTGTCCCAGGTGCTAAAGGTAAGACGTTGTCAGTACACGTGTTTTCTGCATTATACTCCGCAGAGCTTGGCAAAGGGAGGGCAGGTAAAAGGAATACAGTAGCAGCTCAGTAGCAGGCGTTGTTGTGATGAGCTTAAACCCTGAGATTCAGACCCTGGGTGGCTTCAGTGTAGGCCGCAGCTATTTTTCCTATTTTTCCAGATCGTTCGTGGGGCCAGAAGTCTCGCACGGTGTTCTGCACGATGTTCTGAGCGGAGCTACTTCACAGCATCATAATGTGAAAACGTGAACTAGAATCCTTTTTATTATGCCACTCCAACTCTTCAAGCGATGTCTACGGTAAAAAGGTCTTTCTGTTCTCTACCAGAAGTTGCTTCCCGTGGCGCCTCTTCCCGTGACACTTTCCTAGCCATGGGCAAGTTTAAAGTTGGCCGATTCATAGGGAAAGTGATGAGCGTTGCGGTCCCACTTGTCAGAGTTGTTACTGCGACCACCCCTATTGGAGCCTTGATGCAAGCAAGCCTTGCAGTGATTCAGGTGGCCAAAATCAAGAATTCACATTTGGCCCTGCTTGTTCTCAACTTTGCTGCTCCTGGTCTCAATAGTGGAATGCTCTCACAACGTTTAGCAGCTTCTATTCCGGGGCTTGTCGGCACGTTTAACCCAAGAGCCGGTGCAGCTTTGCAGCTCCTTTTGCAAGGGCCAAATCAATCCCAGAGTTTTCTGCAAGTTGCCGAATCTGCTGCAGAAAATGCAGCACAGTTGATGATTCTGGTGGATCAAAGAGAATTGGCTGCAGTCTTGGGCAACATCAGTGCTGCAGCCGGTGGCTACTGTGAGGTCACTGAGTTGCTGAACATCCCTGACATGTTCGCAGGCATCATGCAAGCAAATCCTAGTGATTTGACGATGGACTTGATTTTTGGAGCACCTCACTCTGGTCCAGGCTTTGCATCTGAGCACAGGGGGCCTGTACTCCCTGATCGTCCAAGCTTTGCTGGGCCTGCTCAGCATGAGCTGCTTGGAGGGCCAGTTTCAGGGGAACTTGGCAGGGTGCCAACCTTTGACAGCAGAGACAACATTGCTGGAAGCCAGGGCATATTTGCTCCCAGGCAGCCCTTGATTGGCAGATCACATCTTCCGAATGAGTCATTGGCACATGGAACATGGTCTCCAGTGCCCGACTTGATGCGGTTGCAAGGTGGCAACTTTGTTGAACCACGCCCTCACCTTCAGACAAGTTCGTCCTTGACACATCGGTGCCCCAACAGTGTGGGAGAGTATACTGAGTACATGGGGCCCATACTGCCTGATCCTCGCCTTGCTGCTCAGCATGGCAGCGAGTTCATGGCAAGCCCAGTGAACGTGGAGAGACGGGCACAGCAAATGCATCAGGTGCCGGAAAGAGCAGGAGTTCCTCGAAGAGCGCAGGTGCTTGGTGGTGATGCCACAGTGGAACGTGTTTATTGGCTTCGGAGCAAGCTGAAACAAGTCATCCCAAGGGTGGGCTACGTTTCTCACGGAGGACTTTTGCTGCAATCAAGGACTGCTGACGGAAGAATGCATTACCATGTGCTTGAGTACATGGGGGACGGCAAAGTCTATTGCGTCCCTCTTGCCTCCGGGGTGCATCCACTTAGCGTAAAGGTTGAACCCTACAATGATTGGGCCCCACATTGGCCCGCTGGTGTCGCTTACGAGAAGCAGAGACATGGTTGGTCCATTACCGAGGCGAACAGGACTAGCGTGACTGGGCTGAAAGAGAGAATGGAATTCCTCATGTCCGCGCGCCGATATGATGTTCTCGAATGGAACTGCCACATGGCAGCACACAGAATCTTGCAAAGCCTAGGGATTGATGTGCCTGAAACCTATGAAAAATTCTGGCAAGGTATTCTGGCAGGTTTTCATACAATGGGACGAGCTGATTGTCTCTTCGGAGATTGAGATCACATGTCAAGCCTGACTGCCTTGCTAAAAACCTTCCCCGAAAGTCTGCAATATGCTAAGGGCATGACCGACAGGATGAACTGCCCTGAAACGGCGCGATGCTTTTTTTGTGCATGGCCGGAGAGCCTGCAATCGATTTGAGAAAAGGTATCGCAGCTCTTCAGCATAGGCCTCAGATACAACATTTATCAGCCAGGGCAAGTGGTGTCAGGCACCATCTATTCCAAGATGTTGCGAGCAAGGAGTAGAGTGAGACAAATTCAAGATCAATTCGTGAATGCGTTGCGCCAGTCAGCTTAAGTCAGGTTAAGTCCGGTTAAGTCAGCCGCAACCGCATCAAGCAGAAGCTCTGCTTGTGGTGTCAGTAGCTCAGTGATTGGGGCCAGGGCCTGGGAGACTGTCAGAGATTTGCTGAGCTTCCCAATGGTTTCGACATGGAAACAAACATTTTTTCCCGAGAGCGTCTGAGCGCAGGGTTCTTCCAATAGTGGGGGTCTGTAAAACATCTTCTCATCTTCACATCTTCTCTCACATCTGCTCATCTTCACATCTTCTCTCACATCTTCTCTCACACCTGCTCATCTTCAAATCTTCTCTCACATCTGCTCATCTTCACATCTTCTCTCACATCTTCTCTCACACCTGCTCATCTTCACATCTTCTTTCACATCTTCTCTCACATCTTCACATCTTCTCTCAGATCTTCTCTCACATCTGCTCATCTTCACATCTGCTCATCTTCACATCTGCTCATCTTCACATCTTCTCTCAGATCTTCTCTCACATCTGCTCATCTTCACATCTTCTCTCACATCTTCTCTCACATCTGCTCATCTTCACATCTGCTCATCTTCAAATCTTCTCTCACATCTGCTCATCTTCACATCTTCTCTCACATCTTCTCTCACATCTTCTCTCACATCTTCTCTCACACCTGCTCATCTTCACATCTTCTCTCACATCTGCTCATCTTCACATCTTCTCTCACATCTTCTCTCACATCTGCTCATCTTCACATCTTCTCTCACAT